CTTACCTTTCTAGCAAGACACGCCTTAAACTTAGCCCTCATCTTCCTGACATATGTCAGAAACGTGCCGGATGGACGCCCTATGTCGCATTTATGCAACAAGCTGCATCCTCAAGCCACTAGTTTTGCTGAAAAGCAATGATAATGATGGCTACAAGACGGTACAATGTTTTCAATAATATACATAAAGGACTCAGAAGTATGTTGTTCAGCATACAGATGAATGTCCAGAAAACGGACTTTTCCGCGCCGGAGGCAGCAGCAACGGTCGGGGAGCTGGAGCGTGTGCTGAATTATTATGATGCCCATGCCAGCCATGAAGATCAATACTTCCTCTCCAATATCCTAAAGCTGGAACCGCAGCTGGCCAAGGCTTTTGAAGAAGAGCACGTCATTGATCATCGACTGAGCAACGATCTCCGGCGGCAAATCAATATCTGGAAAAACAGCGCTTCCCTGAAAGAGCAGGAGACGGCAGGCAGGGAAATATTCTATGCCCTGAACGCCTTTATTGCTTTCAATCTTTATCATATGAATAAGGAGGAAAATGAGCTGCTGCTGGTGCTTTGGAAACATTTTACAGACGAAGAGATTTTGGGGATGGAGCAACAACTATTAGCAGCAGTGCCGCAACAGGACCTGATCGAAGAGAGTCGCTGGATGATGCGCAGCCTCAATACCAGGGAGATAACGGAATGGCTGGGCGGCATCAAACATGCAGCCCCCGCACCTGTATATCAGTCTTATGTTCAAATGGCTTCAGAAGAGCTTTCTGCAGATCGTTTCAGCACGCTAAATCTTAGTTGATCCAGGGCTTATCATCCAATTTCATTTCATCATTTTGCCTTTATAAAAATGAACATCACTTACCAGGAAATAAAGCCTTCTGCTGCCTTGCAGGATTATGTAGACTGCTACTGGTTGCAATCGTTTACCGGAGCGGTTGGCAATGAATTGTCGCCCACGCAACGCTGCCCGCCCTTTGGAATGGTAGAGATCATTGTGCATATCGACGATAACTGCAGTGAGGTCTGTTTTAATGGAAAGTGGGAAAAGCTACCCAGGATTTTTCTCGCCGGTCTTTACCGCGACCCTGTTTTATGGCGCTCGTCTGCCAATACCCGCAAGTTTGGCGTGCGGATGAAGCCCGAGACCTTTCATTTATTTTTCAAAGCTCATGCCGCGACGCTTTACAGCGACTATACTGCTATGGAAAATATTATGGGCAAGGAAGCCATTCAATTTGCGGAGCAGGTTTCGGAGGCAGGAGATCTCCGGTCTGTTATTGCCCGCACAGAAGCCTTCCTGATGACACAGTTGCGCAAGACAA